ACTATGGGCTCCAGTAACCACTTAGCAACCAGGTGGGCTGTGAGCATGTCCACCCATCTAAGCAATAAAAAGAAATTAAAAAAGACTATTGCATCTGGCCACGACCCTCAGTTATGGAACATGACTGGAGGATAAGGAAACCAATTGAGATTTAATGTTTGTAGTTAAACCTGAACCGAGATTCCAAAAGAATTAACAGTTTTGATTAGAAGTGTCCCCGTGTTGAGGGAATTGCCCACTGAATTTCTCGCCGGATCTTCTCAGCGGGTCGCGTTTCCGATCCGGTGGTAGATTCAGCGAAGCACTGCTCTTGCTAGAGCTAGTGTTAGCAACGTCCTCAGGTTAGAGTTCTGGTCGTGCGGTTACACTGGCGTAGCCCTCTAAGGCTACTAGCTTAGGTGGGTAAAAAAAGGAGAATTTAGCTGAAAATGTATCTAGGCTCATAGGTTTCGCGTACTTACTTACTTTTATAACAGACCACTCACCCTACGTTAACCCCCTCTTGGAAACATAATAGTGAGTAGGCCTATTATTGGCATTTAGGTCGTAATAAGTCGAAGGGCTAAGTATGCAAATATACCTATTAGGGAAGTTGTTACGGCATCATTTAAGTTTGAACTGATCAATACCGTGCATAATAGCTGACATATTAATTATACATAAGTAAGATTTTCCCCACCCCGTTGATAATGTTTTATTACCCAGTCGAACAAAACAGATTGTTTTTGTAACATTTATTTTCACAACAACCAACATCAAACATCAATAAAATATTATACTCACAACGATTTGGACACCAGTTAATTCGTAATACTAACATTTCTATAATTAGTAATTAAAGTTTTTTTTTTTTGGTAATTTCACATTTTAAGTACAAAATATTTTCTTTAACTTTCTTAATAATATCAAAACTACGTAGTTGCATTTTTTTAAATTACTTACAAAATATATGATAATTAGGTACGTAAAAAGCCATTTAAAAAATTAAATACATAAATAATGGATCAATAGTGATGTAGAAACATTGTAAAATTTGTATATTTTCCTGTAATTATCAATTATCACACTCATTTTTTTTTCTCTAAACAGGGTTGTAGTGGAGATTGTGTTGCTGACTCATTGTAAAAGTTATGGCTTTTTATCTAAGACATAATTGTGTTTACATGCACTTTTATAAGCCCTGATATTATAATAAATTTTTCTACTTTCTTATTACAATTAAAATTTATTAAGAGCAATCGTAAAAATAATGCTGAATAATAAATAGAGGACCAATTTACACAATGTGTGTGTACTCATATGAAATATTCAAGTAATATTTTGTTTTAAAACTATAATTCTCTATGTAGGTACCATAGAAAAATATGTACATGGTAAAAGTGTTATAGCTTACGAAATTTCATTTACAATAAAAATTAGGTAACTTGAAAGTTTATTTTAATGGTACAACAACAATAGTACCTACTAATTTTAAAATATTGTCTTGAAAATACTACTTAACAAACCATTTTCGCATACAGAAGATACGTATACAGAGATGAGAAGTAGATATGTGTCGTTCGTTCAATTTTAGAGATTCAGATCAATACTGACCTGTTGACAAAATGATCCGGTTCGTACGACTCGTTCAGTCGAACGTTTAAAGGAACTGTTATAGTTCGATTGTTTACGTGAGATCAAAACAATTCAAATGAGTTATGCGTCATTATGCGACAACGAACGACTAACCGAGACGGGCGCAGGTCGAGTCCCGGCAACCCGAAAGGACCCGAATGACTGTATGGTTCTTTTCTTCTGATTCGTAGGTTTTGTTAAACGAGTCGATCTAGTGAACCACTCATATTTTTTGAAGTGACCCTATCGTTCGCGCGGATTTTGAGACCCGGGTCGTTTGTTTCGTTCGTTCGCTAACGACAGATATCTAATGAGAAGGATTGCCTACATTAGAATTAAAAGCGAACACTGAAATAGATTAGACGCGGACAAAAGAATAGTCTTAAACGTTGTGTTCTCGCTCCTTATCACGTTAGATAACGATCCTTAATTTACTTTATTATATATCTAATACACTAAATATGTATTTAACAATGTTATAAATTCGTGTGCTTTGATTGGGCGAATCCAACTAGACGGCAAGGGCGGATCCAGCTTTGGCGCCAGGAGGGGGTCACATAGTCAAATTTAGATGCGTTTGTTCCCAAACGTTTGCCATTATACAAAGTTATTATATTAAATAAATTAAATTTTGAAAGTATGTAGTTACATAAAATCTTTATGGTAACAAAATATATAAATAAAATCATTATATTCAATTAGTGGTCCACCTAAGTCCTGGAACCAGCTCAGTGGGTGGGCATGACCCCCATGACCCCCCCCTGGATCCGCCATTGCAAGACGGGCAATTATAATTTAAAATTACCTACTTCCCGCTAAAAGTGAATTTAGCAAAGCGTTCACTCTTTTTGCGCATAGATAATAATAAACCTTTTAAGATTAATTTAAGATTTTTGTGTACCAACATATGGATGGTTGTTTTATTGTTTTATTTCCTACTAACTTAGTTATTTGTATCGTGCTATGAATCATAACATACTACTACTACCGAGCTGGCGCTATGACCCCGAAGTTGGTCTTGGCCTCCGACAATAAACTTTGCCATTCATCCCGGCGCTGCGCAACACCTTGCCAGTCCGACACTTGGAGCTCCCGTAAATTTCCTTCCACAGCGTCATACCAGCGGTACTTGGACCTCCCTACGGGGCGGCGTCCCTCCGGTACACCCGTGTATACCCGTTTCACAGCCCGATCCTGCTCCATACGTACTACATGTCCGAGCCATCCGAGCCTCCGTGCCTTCATCTCCCCCAGAATATTTGGCTCACCAAAAAGCCTCTCCACATCCTTATTTTTCCGGACGTGCCAAGAACCGTCTTCTTTCCGAACTGGTCCTAGTATTTTTCTCAATACCTTTCGCTCCGTCACGAGAAGTTTNACCCGTTTCACAGCCCGATCCTGCTCCATACGTACTACATGTCCGAGCCATCCGAGCCTCCGTGCCTTCATCTCCCCCAGAATATTTGGCTCACCAAAAAGCCTCTCCACATCCTTATTTTTCCGGACGTGCCAAGAACCGTCTTCTTTCCGAACTGGTCCTAGTATTTTTCTCAATACCTTTCGCTCCGTCACGAGAAGTTTTACCTCTTCTTTCTGTGTAAGCGTCCATGCTTCGTATCCATACAATAGGATCGGCCTGACTACAGTCTTGTATATCCGAATCTTGGTGCGCCTGCTTAGTAGCTTCGAAGAGAGAACAGGGTGTAGGGCTGCACAGCATCGTAGGGTATTTTGTATACGAATTTCGATTTCATCTCCCTGTCATTGGTGTCTGTTACAGTGCAGCCAAGGTACCGGAATTTAGATGAATTTACATCCAAAGGGTATTTTAATCTTAAATTCAAAACGGAATTTATTTATGGTTACTCGCATTTACTCATTTATCTTGAATGTGATAATTTTGTGAATTTTCCATGAGTCCCTCCACAATAACTACGTTTTATTTCAAATACAAAAACATTATAAGGAAGCAAATAAATAATAATAATACGTTTCTTTATTCTTTACCTCGCCTAAGCTTGCCTAAAGGTATTGCATTTAATTTGTCTTCATTCTTGAGCTAGGATTCTAAGCCCACGTGTTGGAATTTGAACGGGCCTAATAAACAATTTCTTACGTAAATAAATCTGTTACATTTACGGTTAACCTGGGAACCGGTTATTATTAGGAGTAGGTATGTTAACAGGGAAACCACCTCTGAATTGGAAACACCCTTTTTAGCTACACAAAGATTCTGAAAACAATAATATCTATTCATTTCCACTAAACATACTTGTACGAAATGTGAAAATAAGGGAGATAAGCCTGTCTTCATTGCGGCCCGTAATATATTTTTTTTAAATCACATTATTTACTTTGTTTTATAGTGTTATCAAAGTTATTTGGAATTCGAATTAGAATTTTGAAATTATTGGAATTTGGAAAGTAAAATAACACAGTGAGCTGACCGAAGCTCGATTCACAGAATAAGCACTTAATATTTATGAGCTCCGTCGCTTACGTATGTAGATTTTAAATAGTAATATTAACAGTATAAAAACAAGAACCATCACCACGCATTTACACTTAAGTAACATTTTTTTCTGACTCACTTTAAACTTTTTTTTTTTGCTTAGATAGGTGGACGAGCTCACAGCACACCAGGTGTTAAGTAGTTACTGGAGCTCATAGAGATCTACGACGTAAATGCTCCACCCACCTCGAGATATAAACTCTAAGGTCTCAAATATAGTTACAACGGCTGCCCCACCCTTCAAACCGAAACGCATTACTGCTTCACGGCAGAAATAGACAGGGTGGTGGTACCTACCCGCGCGGACTCACAAGAGGTCCTACCACCAGTACTATAGTAGAATTATTTTGTCCGTGCAGTTTGGGTAATAAAAAATCGGAGCGGTGAAGCGAGTATTTCGCTCTCTCTTCCACTCACGAGCCTTATGGACGGGCATAGTGATGCGCATTATTGTTGTCGATAAGCGTTATCGATAGTGTATTTAGTTTTGTGGGTTTGTGATAAAAATGAAAGAAAAAATCACTAATCGAACACTTACACCACATATCGCCGCAGCAAGTTAACGAGAACGGCAGAAATTAACATTTTCTAACTTTTCTGGATCTATTCTTATTTCAGTGAAAATTTATAACCCATTGTTGATAACAACACGTGCAAATATTATTTAGAATAAATTCTGCCGTTTTGATACAAAACAAAAGAGTAGCGATTGTGTCATTATAGAAATTCAGAGAACGAATGCATAAAAACACATTTCTCTTCGACATAATGTACTATAATTTGCAGGTAAGTAAGTACAAATGACTTCTGGACCCTTCCCGTCGCCGTGTACCTGCCTTCGATGACTTATTTGTTTTTATCGGTAATGGCGTTGCGCCAGCGGAACATGCTCACCGCCCTAGCCGGGCTATGTTTTATGACCCAAACTGCACGGACAAAATAATTCTACTATAGTTGTAAGACATTTTAAAAGACACATATAACCTAAACTTCATTGACATACATTAAAGCAAAGCACCTTCATATTCGGTACAGTACAAACGTTTGAAAGCGGCCAGCGTCCTAGCTCTCATCGCTACGTCATCACAAACATTAATGACAGACTCACAATGTATCTTGTAAAAATCGTTGCCACCCGAAACCTTGGTGTCGTTAGAATCTACATTGACGCTAATATTGGCGTTGTTGTCTAAGCGTTATTCGCGGAACGAGACGGCGGGGGCCGAGTGGCGGTCACGGAGGGACACGAAGCACGCGCATGTTGGGGGACCGGGGGACGACACGGAGGAGAGCGGGCCCGCCGAGCTGCCACACGACAGCCGGGCTCGGTCGCGGATACTGATCACGGAACGAGTCGGTCCCAGCCAGGGCTCCGGGTCATCCGTGTAGGGCTCTAGACCTGGTTCTGATGTCAAAAAACAACGTTACTATAAATCATTTCAATTATAAAACAATAGATTTATAGTATTTTTCGATACTATTTTCACAAACTATAGCTTTCATTTTATTCCTAGTTGTCGTTGCGTGCATAAATAAGTATTGTTACGCCGGTAAGAGTAACGCTATCTGTCATCAAATAGCAGAAACGAATATCAAAAGAACTAGTAATATCGAGAACACTCGAGGAGTGTAACGCCATCTATTATCAAATAGCGAAAATACATATAGAAACGACTAGTACTACCGGGAACGTTCTCGATAATTGTAGAGATGTGTCGACTATAAAATCGTTGCAGAGATGACATGAAGGCAACTAGTAATCGGATCTATTCGAAGCGAAACGGTGAACGGATCACCTGAAGCGAAGCGGGAGGGGTGAATTGCTAATTGTGAACTATGCCTTAAGTGTTGATTTTTTTTTAATTCTAAGTGTTGAATATAGTTTTAAATTTTTATTTATCCCGAGCCCTAGCGCGTAAAAGTATCCCATCCCATATGTTTACCTCTATTTCTCAATTTTTGACACAACTATGCTTATAGTACCCGGTTATAAATATTGCAAATCCATATGCATGCATAAATAATCGTCTAACTTTCGGCTTACAAATACACAAATATACAATTTCAGTTTCATTACTGGTGGTAGGACCTCTTGTGAGCACGGGTAGGTACCACCACCCTACCTATTTCTGCCGTGAAGCAGTATGCGTTTCGGTTTGAAGGGTGGGGCAGCCGTTGTAACTATACTTGAGATTTCAGAACTTATATCTCAAGGTGGATGGCGCATTTACGTTGTAGAGGTCTATGGGCTCCAGTAACCACTTGACACCAGGTGGGCTGTGAGCTCGTCCACCCTACTAAAAAAAAAAAAAAAATTTATTTAACTTTGTTATTTCTTCATCGTACCGGTAAAAAATATAAATTAGAATAAGAAAATTCAAATAGGTACACCTAAAAGTCAAGTTAAATTAGCTTCTATTTATCCTAATGTGTTTCTAGACTTATTCAAATGTATATTTTGATTTCATTGGAAAAATGTAATCGCTTTAACACAGAACACATTACAAATTGACTGAATTGATATTCACTGAGTTGAACAAATGTTTTTTCGTTGAGACAATAAAAAACATGTAATATTAAATGTTCCAAATATAAATAATAATTTGAATGGAAAAGCCTCTTTATAAAACCTTTTATCAAGACCTTTTGAAAACGTTAGCGTACATATTATTAGTACATTATTTGTTTCATCAAATAATTTGTAATTCAATAAAAATATGATATGAAAAAAGGTATAATATATTTTTGTATTTTTTTCTGCTTGGATGGGTGGACGAGCCACGGCCCACCTAGTGTTAAGTGGTTACCGGTTGTTGAAGTTGTTGACAACTTAAATAGCGTCACCCACCTTCAGAGATGAGTTCTAAAGTCTCCGTGTTTTATAGAACAACGACTGTCTTAGATTTCAAACCGAAACGCATTGCTGCTTCACGGCAGAAATAGGCAGGGCGGTGGTACCTGCCCGCGCAAGGTCACAAGATGCCCCACCACCAGCCATTACGCAAATGAAAATTTTCGCGCGCTTGTTTTTTATTACACAATGTTATTCCTTCACCGTGGAAGTCAATCGTGACCATTTGTTAAGTATGTATTTCATTACAAAAATTGGTACCCCTCTGCGGGATTCGAACACCGGCACACACGCATCGCTCGATACGAATGTAGCGTGTGTCTTATCTCCCAGGCCACGACGACTTCGTGTGAGGACGAATTATTTTTATGAATTACAATTTCTAAAATACAATTTCAAAAAGAGAACTTAAGATTTTACTTACGAAATCTCAAATAATTCCTCCTCCTGTCGTGATCCTCCCCAATCAGCCACCACGTCTTCATCTCTCCTTTGTCCTAAAAGTATATTTTTGAATGAACCACCGTAGCTGGCCACTATCAGACGCGTCTTATAATCATTGACCAGTTGAGATCCAAACGCTTTCAAAACAAACTTTTACTGGTGGTACCACCCTGCCTAATTTTGCTGTGAAGCAGTAACGCATTTCGGTTTGAAGGGCGGGGCAGCCTTTGTAACTATACTGAGACCTTAGAACTTATATCTCAGGGTAGGTGGTGCATTTGCGTTGTAGATTTCTATGGTCTAAGTAACCACTTAAAACCAGATGGGCTGTGAGCTCGTCCACACATCTAAGCAATAAAAATAAAAATATGTTATTAACTTGAGTTTTTTCATATGATTCTCGTGTCATTGTTGTAATTTTTTCCGGAGTGTCCTTTGGCTTTGTTCGATCGCAACGCATTCAATTTATTGAGAGTCATTCAGAGAATTAACAAAAATATAATATTAGAATCAAACCATTTTTTTAATTTTTTTTTATTGCTTAGATGGGTAGACGAGCTCACAGCCCACCTGGTGTTAAGTGGTTACTGGAGCCCATAGACATCCACAACGTAAATGCGCCACCCACCTTGAGATGTAAGTTCTAAGGTCTCAGTATAGTTACAACGTTACAATTTCCATTTCCATGCCACCATGAGCTTTCCATGTTATCATTATTTCAAACAGTTACAATCATCTGTATGTTCAAATATAAAGTACTATAATATAATTAAGACAGACCGTTAATTTAAGGACAAAACGAAACGAGTTGCACCGCAAGCTTTCACGAGTTGTTTTTAAGTTTTGGAATACTAACCGTTTGGAATAAACCATGTTTTGGAAAGTTAAATGTACTAAAGTGTACATTCAGTGTACACTAACCGTGAATGTTCATACTTCACTGTGGTTGGAGACGCACGGACACTTTTTGTAATAAATTCCTTGTTCGCCCTGTTCATAACGCATGCATAAGAAGCGTGTTTATAAATCGCAAGGCGAACACATTCGTTTGAAGTCAACAGTCTTGTTAAAACGAGCCGTATTTCTGAACATTAAAAACCCTCACCATCGGAAAATCTAAAGAAAACCCGCGAAGGTCATTTAATTTCGAAATCCCCATTTTATTCATTCGTGATTTTATAGGTCTAACATGTTTATTTCTTATTTCACCACCTGAGTAAAATCTTCAAAAATCTCTTCAAAGTAGAAGGTTATAAAATACTTTCCTAACTATCTTTAATATACTACTATGTAGATGTGTAATATTAGGATTTCAAATCAACAAGAAAGGTCATCAACTGCCAAATTTTTTTTTTTTTTTATTGCCTTTGTAGGCAGACGAGCATACGGCCCACCTGATGGTAAGTGGTCACCGTCGCTCATGGACGTCAGCAATGCCAGGGGCAGAGCCAAGCCGCTGCCTAAAGCTTCAAGCTTTCAAGCTTTTGTGTGTGTTTTTAAACCCATTTATATTATTACAAGTTGTAAAGACCCGTATAACCAGTCCATTTTAACAACAACATCAATTACTCGATTAGCTTATACCAGGACTTACAAATCTCTTTCAGACTCTATATACCTTGACATCTATAACGCCACGTTCTCTGAAGTGGTATCCGCCGGCCTGCTTCAAGAGCAGATATGTATCGTTGCTGATGTGTATCCTTTCAGGTTCTCCGGTGGATTCCATTAGAGACGCCGTGTTTACTGTATCCCCGAAGAGGCAGTATCGAGGCATCTTGATTCCTACCACTCCGGCAGCGCACGGACCACTGTGAATACCTAAGACCGGAAAGATCATCGGCGTGACCCATAATTCCATGATTAGCAAACACGTATAACCTTCTGCTAAACTTACATCAGTAGATATGTGATTACAAGTTCGACCAGCCTTAAAAGCTTCAATACTTTCTCATCCTCCTTCCATGGTACGAGTATATAGAGGAGTTATAAGACTTACTAATAGAGTTGACGTTAGGCAGGTGGCCAGTAATGTATGTCCACTCGTTAGGTTATCAGTTTAGGTAGGAAAAAAATTTATACAAAAACCAGTTTATTTAATTGTTCGTTACGCTTTCGCATTTTAAGAACTCCATCATTATGATCTCCTTCGAACTTCACTCAGGGTTACACTAATAGACCTATGATAAGTTTCATTGAGAAAAAATCTATTGTGCAGAGATTTTATTTCTGCTATTGAAAGGTAGGACTATCATTATTAGATTCAACCTCATGTCTCAAGCTTTCACGTCATGTTGTCTATAGGATTCGGATTCCACTTAACCCCATGAAACAATTCGCTTTGTCTTTCATATTTGTCAGTCATAGCATTTTTCGAACTAACCGATCCTGATATGAAGCCTTTCAGTTGGAATTCTCCTCATTCTTATTTTCGGGACCGCTTCCAGCACGTGTAATGCGAGCGAGGCCACTTCGGCGGCATGTCTCGAATAGCGTTCTGGTAGACCTCCCACAACCATGTATGCATCTCCTATTGTTTCCACCTGGTATCGAAGACAAAATTACTTCAAATACGCATGGCAGGGCCCCTTAAACTGCGATACTTTAAGAAAAGTATTTTGTTTGTGTGAAAACTAGCGACATCTTGTAGCGGATAGGTACCCCTAAACTTATACGTTGTTAAAGTTGAGACATTTAATTAATGTACAACTAAACACAAAGAAATAAATAAAAAATCATACAAGTCTATTTGTTATGTGTGGTTTCAGAAGATTTATTTTTGTTGAGTGCTTGAGTTGCTTATCTATAATTAATTTATGTGTATTACCTATGACGCACGGTACTGTGCTCAGGAAACATCTTGAGCCAGATTATAAACAAATACTACGTGTACCGGACAACACTATCAGTGGTATAGGGATGTAGGCATGAACTGTGAAGTGGTCAAGTTGAAAGTCAACATAAAAAGCTCCCTTTACTCCTTAAAACACTCTCCTTGAAAAAAGAAATAGTCAAAATCCCATTGTAAGGTGGGTGGCGCATTTACGCTGTAAATGTCTATGGGCTCCAGTAACCACTTAACACCAGGTGGGCTGTGAGCTCGTCCACCCATCTAAGCAATAAAAAAAAAAAAGTAAACGATGTTAGAGATTATAACCCACAGCAAATAAAGCGAATCCACATGATTCATTAGTTACAATGTGAAAGGTTTATTGCGAATTAGTTCCAAGTGGATATACACATGTCGGAAATGTTTTCATATTGTTGTTATAAACTTTTAAGTGTGTAAACACGTGGAAATTATTTGAATAGACCGACATCAATCGGGCAGAGGAAAATTTCTAAAAGTAATAATTTGGTAATTAATCTATATGTAACTAAGAACCTATGCAAATATTAGAAAAGTTTTTGCGGGTACTAGGGATTCCTCATATTTAATTCGCTCTTCGATTTGTTAAGCAAATTCTTCGTAAGAGCATCAAAATTGATATTAAATTTATTAGCCTACCTTAAAAACATTGTAGTAGGATATTATTTCGTCGCAGCACGTGTAGAGGTCGTTTAAAATCTCGACAATCTGTCAATGAAGAGAATATATGTATATAACCATATTTTGGTTTAGGCGACATTTTTGCAACTTTACAGGCGAGCCATTTAAAGTTTAAAATTTAGAAAAAATATAACAAAAAACCTTCTTCAGCTATTTGAATGGAGTAAACTTAATTGAAGTTCAATTAAAAACATCGTAGTGTTGATGATAATAATAAATAAAACGGATATTTAATTAAGATAAATGTCGTGTATCAAGCCAAAATTTGTTAATTAATTTATTTAAAAAAGTTAAGTAATTAAGTGAAATATCGCTAAAACTAAATAAATAGCCTTTCACCACTCGATATATTTTAATGACCTTTATAAATTCTTAAATAAGTTCTTGTGTCTTCTACCACTTATGTAAAGAGTTCTGTTTGCCTTTGACGACATTTTATGGTTTGACGAAATAAAAAAACAAAATGGCGACATGACATTCAATTAACCGATACTAGAATTTTCTCGCGGTAGTCCCTATGTACCGGAAGGTTGTTTTGGTCTTAGATCGCAATATGATCCAACTGTATATGGCGCACGCGGAGCAGCCGGCTTACAACGGACAGATCGCGTGACCACAGAAGCTGATTAAAAAATTAATTGACAGCAGATTGACAGTGATTACCTTCATTGGCGTGTTAGTGGCCGCCATTTTGGTGAAGCCGACGATATCGCTGAAGTAAATGGTGACGCATTTGTAACTCTCTGCCTTTACTCTTTCGCCGCGTTTCACAGCGTCCGCGATGGTCCTGTACTCGAATATGTTCATTAATAACTAGTATAGTCACTAATGGATGACTTTCGATACCTTAGCTTCAGGGTAAATGATCACCAAAACAATAATAATTTTTTTAAGGAATTTTATGACCTGGCAACTAAGACGTTTAGGTCATGTCTTATTTTAATTTGTATTCTTATTTTTATGAAAAATGACAATATGGAGTGAAATGGTGCAATCGTGTCAAGCGATGAACCGGTGTTCCAATCATTTTTCTAATGAAATACGTACTTAACAAATGTTCACAATTGACTTCCACGGTGAAGGAATAACATCGTGTAATAAGAATTAAACCCGCAAAATTATAATTTGCGTAATTACTGGTGGTCGGACGTCTTGTGAGTCCGTACGGGTAGGTACCACCACTCTGCCTATTTTTGCCGTGAAGCAGTAATGCGTTTCGGTTTGAAGGGTGGTGCAGCCGTTGTAACTATACTGAGACCTAAGAACTTATATCTCAAGGTGCGTGGCAGTATTTACGTCGTAGATGTCTATGGGCTCCGGTAACCATTTAACACCAGGCGAGCTGTTAGTTCGTCCACCTACCTATGCAGAAAAAAATAATAATAATCACATCACTCAAAATATTGATCGCAAGAAATAGGTTGCAGGGATACTCTTTGAAATTAGGGCGCTATGTGTGGTCCTCTGCCTAGGTCTAGAATATACCTGGGTAGCATTCTGTTCAGCAAGTCATCGATCTTCTTCTTCTCTTGCGCGAGTTGTTCCGTGCGGGCCGCGACCAGAGTCTCCAAGTTCGAAGCGTACCTCTCCATCATGGCGAGCATGTTGTCGAATATGTTCGTTTTCCTACATGATATATACAGGGTGTTACAAAACTACCCGTAAAGTCGAAAGAAGGTTAAATAGGGCCTTACAGCAAGTTCATTCACAATATTTAAGAATCATAGTAACGCTGTATCACATACCCAAAAAAATAAAAATAAATTATTATTTTTACTGATGCGCAAACCTTATTTTAGTAAAATTAAAGAGTAAACTACGCAGAAAGTACCTACATTTTTACCTAATTCGCGGAACGACAAAATTTTTGACAATTATGACAAGTACTTGAGTATAATAACATCCTTGTACTGAGGCCTTTCTGTTAAATAATCTGGTTCCCTGACATGACAGCTTACTAGTGTTGACAAAATTTTCGGTTTTGATAATTAATTATATTTTTTACGGGGTATTTTGTAACACGTTGTATATAGTAAACTTAATTTCTAAAATTAAATCATATTTTTTTATTATACATAATAAAATGTAATAGCTCAAATTGACATATTAAGAAGTGCTTACATTATTTGAGACGTAATTAATATTAGTAGGCATTCACTATAATTGTTTTTTATGCGAGTGACTACAAAGCCTTTAACGAAGCGTTAACAACCTAATCAGTAAGAAGGCCAATGTACACCGTTTAAATCGCGTGGGCGGCACTTTCTTTAATATTGTAGTCATGACACGGATATTCCTGTATCCAGCGCAAATTTAAAATCCGACCGAACCGGATTTTCAAAAAAATTGTGAATATTTCACAAAAAGGAAACTTCGCGATTCCACTTCACAACTTAAACCGACAATTGTTTTTATTTCAAATCAATACTAATTTAGGAATTGTTACTCCTCTAGCGGCGCTGTTACTGCTGTTACAACGGTAAGAGTAACGCCATCTATCGCCGAATAGTCGAACGAATATCGAAAGTCTAAGTATAAGGATCTAGTAGCATCTAGAACGCTCGCGAAGTACAACGCCATCAATTGTCAGATAGCGGAAACACACAATACTCAACTTTTGTGGAATATTCTCGACGATTCTAGGGATTTCATCTAGACTATAAAAGGGTTACAGAGATGGCACGCAGTCAGTTAGTAATCGGAACTATTCGAAGCGAAACAGCGAACGGATCACATGAAGCGAAGCGGAAGAAGCGAATTGAGAATTTTAAAGTGTGAGTGTTTTAAGTGTTGTAAGTATTGAATACAGATTTAGTTGTACTTTGGTGGAACATTTATATATCCCGAACCCCAGCGCGTGACACTGCAAATTGTTGTGAATGTAACCAAATCATCTACCTACATAACGGCTTAGTTTCATTTGCTTCATAGACACGGTCAGCCTCAGAAAAGTATTACATTGTTTTTTTATTATTTTTTTATTGCTTATGTGGGTGGACGAGCTCACAGCCCACCTGGTGTTAAGTGGTTACTGGAGCCCATGGACATCTACAACGTAAATGCGCCACCCACCTTGAGATATAAGTTCTAAGATCTGAGTATAGTTACAACGGCTGCCCCACCCTTCAAACCGAAACGCATTACTGCTTCACGGCAGAAATGGGCAGGGCGGTGGTACCTACCCGCGCGGACTCACAAGAGGTCCTACCACCAGTAATAAAAGTTTGTAAGAAACGGGGATAATTGAAATTTCGGATTCATGTTTTAATGCAGCACTCCCGTTATCATGTCAACTAGATAATGACGAAGCTTTGCTCGTAATTGTTCTTTTTTTTGATACATTGTGTTTTTTTAGAAATTATATTTAAATACGACATTACATATTGTTTATTATTGATTATTACATATTGATAAAATGACGAAATATGAATAATATTTTTCGATCTTACCGACAGAATAATAAAAAAATATGAACTGATTGTATATAAAGAAAAAATCAAAATTATCGATAAAGTTGATTATTGAAAACACGAATAAAACAACATTTACTGAAAATAAATCGTAGCTAGATCGATTTATCGCCCTCGAAATCCCCTGTATAATAAACTTTATGAAAATCGTTGGAGCCGTTTCTGAGATTTAGATTATATATATGTCGTGGTTAACGACTTTTAGTAATATTAAGACGTTGTTTTGACTATTATTTTAAATGATGAAATGTTGTTTTGATAAATATGACAAAATGTAGGGTAAACTCCGTAGCGCCACAGTATAAAATGGCGGTGCGTGGACAGAGTCGTGGCCATAGATTATACACTTAATACATAGATTATACACTTAATATATTTGAGAGTCGTGGCATTCCGTGTCACAGTCATTCAGTCCGTATCAAACGGTCCGTCAGTCTCAGTCAGTGAGTCTCTGGCAGTCAGTCAGTCGGTCTGTCGGTATGTGGAACGAAACTGTCGGTTTTACCCTGTCATTGTGAGAGTTGTGTGTGTTGAGTTTCAATAATTAATATTCAAAAGGTGTTATTGACTTTTATAAACTGAGTTCAACCAAATACGAGTGATGACGGAAACTACCGCTTAGCCATCCCTGGGCGCCACGCCGACATATATATATATATATATATATATATATATATTTACATACAAGAATTGCTCGTTTAAAGATATAAGATTAGCTCTGGTAACCGCACGACAGATTAACAGTTAACATGTCTACCAGTTACGTTCATAAAAGACCAGAAATGTCCTAAGATTGGTATGGTATACTCACATTCCAGCTTGCATGTCCTTCAAACGTAGTCTCACTAGCCTGAGATCTGGTCTGCGGTCAGGTATCTCGCTCCAGCAGGCTTTGAGTACGGCAAGCACCGACGGTCGTGTAGCGACTCCATTGAGGGGCGGGCGGAACAAAACTCCTCCGATAGGATGTCGTACGCGCCCAATAATTTCTGTTAGGTTAAAAAAAAACAGTTAAAATACGAGAGGAAATTGAACAAGAAAAAAAAATGTTTGCTCATTCTTGATTCCAAGATATTTCAATAGAATATGTATAAATTAAGCTTCAGTCTTTGATCAAAGGCCCTTAAGGAAAATGTTAATGTGTTAATAGCATTTTCCTTATGAAATAAAGTAATAAATGGTAGTTGATATGTTTTTTATATACTCTAACGTTATATAATAAGAGTGTAATAGAAAAAAAAAACACTTGGTCCGAATTGAAAACCTCGAAGTGAGTTGAAGTAAAGGCATTGAGGCAGCGGCTTGGCTCTGCCCCTGGAATTGCTGACGTCCATGAGCGACGGTGACCACTTATCATCAGGTGGGCCGTATGCTCGTCTGCCTACAAAGGCAATAAAAAAAAAATTCAAATGTAAAAAGGCTTCATAGACACAGCCCATTGAGTTTCTTGCCGGATCTTTTCAGTGGATCGCGATTCCGATCCGGTGGTAGATTCTGCGAAGCATTACTCTTGCTAGGCTTAGTGTTGGCAAATCCACTCAGGTTGAGCCCGTGAATTCACCTCCCCATCTGGGTGTAGCTGGGACAGCTCCTTAGGCTACCAGCAAATAGGTACGGAACAAAAAAAGATAAAAAGAAAATATTTGAAAGACGTTTTTAAAAAACGCTCTTTGGCTTCCGCTTGCGAATTTCTATAAAATTTTAAGGTAATATTTCGTCAGACAAAAGAACAGGAAATAAGGCACCCTCGTCTTAAAGACAAAATGCCTGTTATATCCTTGTAGCTGTAATTGAACAGAAAATAAAAATTTTACAGTAACCTGAATCTCGCTAATGAAATTTTCTAGATGAGTCTGCATATATAGATTTTGGAACCTCATGCATGACATTTCGCGCACAAATAAAGTCTCTCCGCGACCGCGCTGCGTTTACCCTCGATAAACTTTACCCTTTGATTTGTAAGCGAAGTAAAATGTCCCTTCAGAGCAAGGTAACACTTTACAAAGCTTGCATACGACCCGTCATGACATACGCGATTATCGTATTCGCTATCGCGCACCCACATAGAAGCCCTCCAATTTCTCCCGTTTTTTGCAGGTCAGCCATCGGAGCCCCGTGATTCGCGAGGAACGTCGACCTGCACGATGATCTGGGCCCTTGAATCGATCAGAAAACACCTAAAGTCACATGGGTCTTCCGAGCAATTTCATCTGCTCGATGTGAGATCTTACCCCGGTGCTAGAAGAATGGGAGGGACGAGAGTAAGAACCATTATGAAAAATGCCGTGTGGCTTATCGTTCAGATGACATATGTTGGGCTCTCGTTATAAATAAATTATCATAATAAGATTAATGCATAATATGCATTCGTATGTGTGTGTCCATTCAATCAATAAATATAATAGGATAAACATTTATAATAAATACTCAAAAAAATATGCGTCGGTGAAAAGCATAAATATATTCTTTAAAAATAAATGATCACACAAATAAGTGGTAACTCGCACTGTTATCAAGGGGTGCGACTATGCCGGTGTTCAAATGCCACAGATAATTACCAATTATTGTAATGAAATATCTAGTTATAACATTTTCACAAGGAACTCCCTCAATAAACTAATATCATAGTGGCACAAAATTTGTGTACTCGTTAATTGTAGGATTTATTGTGAGCCGGACAGGTAGGTACAACCATATCCCATAGACACAATCCACTGAGTTTCTTGCCGGATCTTCTCAGTAAGTCACGACTTCGATCCGGTGGTAGATTTTTTTTATTTATTGCTTAGATGGGTAGACGAGCTCACAGCCCACCTGGTGTTAAGTGGTTACTGGAGCCCATAGACATCTACGACGTAAATGCGCCACATAGACATCTACGACGTAAATGCGCCACCCACCTTGAGATATAAGTTCTAAGGTCTCAAGTATAGTTACAACGGCGGCACCCTTCAAACCGAAACGCATTACTGCTTCACGGCAGAAATAAGCAGGATAGTGGTACCTACCCGTGTGGACTCACAAGAGGTCCTACCACCAGATCCTGCAAAGCGTTGCTCTTGCTAGAGCCAGTATTAGCTAGCTATCTCAGGTTAATCCCCGTGAGCTCACTCACCAGTCACAGCGTAGCTGGAATAGCCCCTCAGGCAGGCATAGCGAATAGAAGGAAATGAAAAACTACTATACTAGCTCCAAACATCGGAAGCTCACCAGCGTTGGTAAGATCCGTATCTCCCCAGGGCCCTTTCCGACCAAGTATTTCGTACAAGATGATGCCGAAAGAGTAGACGTCTCCTTTCTGCGAGCCTCGCGGTGGTGGTTCTGGGTCCCGGAGAAGTTCTGGAGCTCTCCACAGCATCCGGCGTTCCATGAGCAATGCGTCTTCTTGGTCTATAGAACCACCTTTTGGGAATGAATAATTTGAATTAATTTTGTAACCTACTAACATTTAGGCCCGTAATATCGATCGTAGTTTAGACTAAAAGCGAAGTTTAATATCAACTGAAGATCAACTCGTAATTAAAATGATAGTTAAACTGTCCTTCGGGGTTAAAACTATCTCAATGTTTAAGCGGTCACGAGGGAGCGATTAACGAATGAGATAGGATTTAACCTGCTCTTTTCAAAATGGCCGTTCGACATCAACAGCTGTTGTTTTGTGACAAACTCATTAAATAGAGATTACTGGTGGTAGGACCTCTTGTGAGTCCGCGCGGGTAGGTACCACCACCCTGCCTATTTCTGCCGCGAAGCAGCAATGCGTATCGGTTTGAAAGGTGGGGCAGCCGTTGTAACTATACTGAGACCTTAGAACTTATATCTCAAGGTGGGTGGCGCATTTACGTCGTAGATGTCTATGTGGCGCATTTACGTCGTAGATGTCTATGGGCTCCAGTAACCACTTAACACCAGGTGGGCTGTGAGTTCGTCCACCCATCTAAGCAATAAAAATAAAAAAAGAAGATATTTATGAACTAACTAGCTGACCCGGCAGACTTCGTGGTGCCTCAATCGATAGTTAAAAGATCTAAGCTTTTGTATAAAATAAACTTAAAACAAACAAAAGGAATCCGTCCGACGGGGGACACTTGAAAGGGAAAACAAAATTGTTATTTTTATTTAATTCCGAGCATTTTCATATTTATCTACCTTTGAAACCTTCTCTGGACTTCCACAAATAATTCAAGACCAAAATTTGCCAAATCGGTTCAGCCGTTCTCGAGTTTTAGCGAGACTAACGAATAGCAGTTCATTTTTATATATTATAGAGATTATTTTTTTTTGGTCAGGAAGAAATCGGCGGACTTCCGCCCTCCGGAGGGCGGGGCATGTCGGAGTCGAACTGACTAAAACCTCCTGTTGCTCAACAACCCGCGTCCGAATATAAGAGATATCCAAAACTACGTACAAGTAAACAATAACAAAATGTTGAATTATTTGGCTAGTTTCGACAAAGTTTGCTCCTGATTTTTTATAAGATCGGTTTTTTTATCAATATATTGCTATATTGTCTTACTAAACTTGCTAAGAATTTCTGATTTAGAAAAATTGAGAGCGCGTTGTTTCCCTTCAACCTACAGTTTTTTATTTATTCCAAAAAACAATTCACCTGTCAAATACAGTAAAATACTTTCAGCTTGAGACTTGCTAAAAGATTGAAAAGGACGAATGGAACGGAAAATGTTGCCACACGTGAAAACATCATATCAGTTTAGCTAAACTGAGTTTGTTTTCGAGTTGATATTACGAAAGCAGTTTAATCTATGGATCAAATTTGAACTAACTTTTATTAATCTTTGCTTTAAACCACGTTTGATGTTACGGGCCTTAGTATCTAAATGTAAAATAAAAATATTTTTTAAGCGATATTGAAAATGTCAATAACATCACTTTCAATCATTCTTCAGGTAAAGGTTTTGTTCGATTTTGGGGTTTACATTTTGAAATCTCCCGCCAACTTGCCCGGTACTCGCGCAATCAAAACTGAGCGCGACACTAGCGCTACGTGTTGCCGCAGTTTGTGCAACATTTGAAAAAAGGAGTCGTGAAATCTTTGAGCAGTTGGCGGTAAGTCCGTAATTCTTTAAATCTTTAAAATATCATAAAACTGAGCTATCGTACATTTATGATCATTCGACCGGATTTTACCTGTTACGAAATCAAATACCAGTGATTCAGTATAACAAAAACGTAATTATTGTAAAAACAATTCCTACAAAAACTTTTATTCGTAAGTAGGTAGTTGTGCGTTTTTGTGAAAAACATAACTTCTGTGTTTTGTGTTTTACAATAAAGAAATTTATACAGTGATTCATAATATACATCGGCGTTCAGGTATTTAGTATTATTTTCGTTACAATATTAAACTTTATTTCAAATTTGTTGCGAACTTTTTAATACATATACATATCTGACGCCTTGCCGCCATTACTGATAGTAAATTAAATTTCAATAAAATAACCATAAAATATTTTTAGTGATAATTCTTATTGTTTGCTATTGAATTAAATCTTAGAATCTTTAATTTTGTCGTATTAAATAGTTTTTAACCGTAGTATTTTCTTCGAATATTAATTAATTAATTATTGATGTTGTTTGGTGTTACAATTTTACTTGGTAGAACGGTACTTTCTTTTAATATTTGTTGTTTGATTATTCGTATTTTATAACATTCTACTAATTCGTAAATTGTGTTTTAAACAAATTAATTTGTAAATTCATTAGTACCTACCTAAATAAAATTGTAAGATGGCGAAAGCAACATCTGGAAAAAAAGCAATAAGTTCCGATGACGATGTCGATCAGTTGTTGCAACCACATCAGACAACCAAGGAGATGGCATTTATGCGTTTACAATCGTTGTACGAGATGTCACGAGTAGTTAGAAGTAATACTGATATGCAGCCACAATTTCGCGCCCGTTTTAGAGATATTGTCGCTTTGAGAACTGCATATGAAAGTGCTATGAGTGAAATGATTTGTGTCCAAAAACGTTATAATGCGTCGTATGTACCGTCATACGACCAAATCAAAGCATTTGATGAGATGTATTACTCTGTTTGTGATATCGCGGATAGTCTAAATTTATCAGGTAGTGATAATACTAGATGTGATTTCGGTTCCGGTAAAACTGTAAAACCTCGATTACCGAAATTAGAAATTTTCCACTTTGACGGAAAGTTAGAAAATTGGCCCACATTTAGAGACACTTTTACTAGTTTAGTACATTCTAATACTGATATAGTCGATATTGAAAAGTTTTATTACTTATTGTCGGCTGTGAGTGGTCCAGCACTCATTATCGTAAAATCAAAGCCGATAACAGCAACAAATTATTCCATTGTATGGAATTCTTTAGTTACACGTTTTGAAAACAAGAGGGCGCTAGCGAGTACATATTTAGATAAAGTTTTTAGTTTCAAACCATTACAATATGAGTCAGTAGACGGCCTAAATGCCTTTTTACAAACGTGTCAAGATAGGGTCAAAGCATTAAAATCATTAAACATACCAGATTTATCAAGTTTTGTTTTGTTTTATGTATCTTTGCGTAATCTGGATTCAACTACTAGGCGCGCATTTGAAAACAAAAGTGTACCGGGTGATCTTCCGACATTTGAGGGTCTTATCGCTTTCGTGGAGAACCAGGTCCGTATCCTGGAAATGTCGGAGAGTAAACCGATCTCAAACCAAAGCATAGACAATGCAAAACCTGTATACGCAAAGGGTTACCAGAATACCAGTCGTTTTGATAAAAAGCTTAATAATTTAAATGCCAGGGTAAGTGCGCCTAGAACATCTTTGGCCTCAGCCGCAACTGCGGCTACTAAGAATCTTCAGAACAAACAAAACTTGAATGAAACTTTAAATAAAATTAAAAAATGTTATTATTGCGGGAAACCTCATTCAATATATCGGTGCTTCGAATATAGTGATCTCACTCCTGAACAACGGCTTCAAAAAATAAAACAGTTGAAATAATGTGAAAATTGTTTGCGTGATGATCATATATTAAAGAATTCTCCGTCTAGGGTACGTTGTACAGTTTGTAAAAATATGCACAATTACACACGTCACATCGATGCTGGCGCTAGTGCCAATTCAGGAAATAATGCCAGCTCGGCGGCTCTTACCTTTTCTACAACTTCGACAGTCTTGCTCGGAACCGCAATTATACACGTCGCAGATTGTTGGGGCATTTATCAACCCGTACGTGCTATAATTGACAGTGGTGCCATGACGGGCTACATAACTCAAGACTGTGCATTAAGGTTAGGACTAGGGTGGAGAAAGTGTGATTTCGATTCCATTGGTCTAGGTGCCAAGCCTATTGCAGATCTGGGGCTAACTACCTGTACTGTAAAACCGCGTCAGTGCGATAGCCCCATATTAACTACCGATGTAGTCATAGTTGTAAATAGCCGGAAATCTACCGACTATGTCTATCTCAGATGATGTGATCCGTAAATTTCAAAATCTTTCACTTGCTGATCCAACTTTTGGTACATCGGGTCCCATCGACATGTTATTGGCCGGTGATTTATTTCCTCAAATTTATGATGGAGAAAAGATCATGCCACAAGATAAGAACATGCCGGTGGCATTGCATTCCATTTTCGGCTACGTCATCGCAGGTCAAGTCTCGATTTCGGGTTATAGAACTGTAGACACGGAAAATCATCATATCAAAAGCAATAATAAAAAATCATTTGTGGCCCTTTCTGTGAACTTGGAGCAAGAAATGCAGTCTGTCTCGGAGATGGAAAACATTCTTATCAACGAACCACAACATCCAGATAATATATTAGCAGGGATACTGTTTGATCGCGATCGTAACCATGATAAGAGAAATAGCTATTTCGTAAACTACCCTTTGCAACCTTTTTATAAACTTGGTGTTTCATATGGAGCAGAAGAACGTAAATACATTGATATAGAAAATAATTTGGAACGCGATCCGAAATTTATTCGTGAGTACGAAAGTCTTGGTGGACATAAGAGCCACGTAGGTGCGGTACAAAACGTGGATTCAATATTTATCATCCCGCATCTTTGTATTTTGTTGCTTTCTAGTACAACAAACAAACTGGGAGGCATGTTTAAAACATCATGCAAAACAATACCTGAGTGGTTTAACGGCCTCCATTGGCTTAATGACTTCCAGTCAGAGGGTCCAGTTAAACCTATAACTCTAAGCCTAGAACGAAACACTTTAAGTACTGTATTTGTCTCAACAGAAGTCATAGAAGCATATTCACTGTTGGACCTCACTAAAAAATACTCTAGTTTTGGTAAGCTTGTGAGTATAATCGCGCGGCTTTACTTGTTTATCCACAACTGTCGAGTCTTTCAATCAGAACGTACATCGCTGTTTGTGTTGCAGTTCTCTTTACGGAGTTCAGAAACGACCTGTGGCAAACAAATGCTAGCATACCATTCTGCATTAACCGTTCTTTGTCCCTCAAGAGGATTAGTCGTAACATGGCCGGTTTTGGAGACAAACGTGGCCACCATTTTTTTTGCAACACTCCGTGAACGAAAAATTTTCGAACACCCATACTCGTGACTGATTTTTTGTTTCGAGTTCGTACGCGTATATCCAGGATTCGTCACCTGATACAATGTTGTATACAGCATTTGAGGATCCTGCGTGGAATCTTTCGAGAGTTCTGAAGCACCAAGTAACGCGAGCCACTTTTTGCTTTTCACGGAGCGAATGCGGTATCCATCGGGAAAACAACTTTTTTACACCTAAATGTTCATGCAAGATTATTTGTATTTGACTCATGCCAATGTCTAAAGTTGCCTGAATTTCGCGGTATGTCACATGTCGATCTTCCTCAATCAGCTTACGCACAGCATCAACGTTTTCTTGGGTGACTGCAGTTTTTGGACGACCTTGACGGGGATCATCACTGAGCTTGACACGTCCACGTTGAAACACAGCAAACCAGCGATAAATTATGGTTTTGGATGGGGCTTCATCACCAAATGCAGAAGTCATCCGGTCAACACACTGTTTTTGTGTTAAACCACTTCGAAAGTCATAATAAATCATCGCTCTTGAATTTTCTCGAGTCAATTCCATTTTCTCAACGACTAAACAAGTTTGACAAAACCTCGTGACAAGACCGAGAATCTTTTTTAAAATAAATAAATGGTATTCGATTTTTAAAACCAAGGAGTTTTCAATTAAAAANATATGGCAACACTTGGAGGAAAAGGCGTGCTCAAAGCCTCATCCCAATTTGGAGTCACTCAAGACATCCTTGATTAAGGCAGCCGCCGATATTGACATGGACCTCGTTCGTGCTGCGATAGACGACTGGCCGTGCAGATTGAAGGCCTGTATTCAAAATCACGGAGGTCATTTTGAATAAACTTTAGTGTCATAAGAATCTATGTTTTCTTAAGTTCATTTTGGTATATGAATGGTTACATAATGAATAAACTAGTTTCAATTATTTTACATTAAACATGTGACAGAATTTATGACCTGACTAGGTATAGATTTTGGGACCTCATGCATGACATTTCGCGCACAAATAAAGTCTCTCCGGGACCGCGCTGCGTTTACCCTCGATATACTTTACCCTTTGATTTGTAAGCGAAGTAAAATGTCCCTTCAGAGCAAGGTAACACTTTACAAAGCTTGCATACGACCCGTCATGAGATACGCGATTGTCGTGTTCGCTATCGCGCACCCACATAGAAACCCTCTAATCCCTCCCGTTTTTGCAGGTCAGCCATTGGAGCCCCGTCATTCGCGAGGAACGTCGACCTGCACGATGACCTGGGCCCTTGAATCGATCAGAAAACACCTAAAGTCCTGGGTCTACCGAGCAATTTCATCTGCTCGATTGGAAATCTTACCCCGGTGGTAGAAGAAGCAAGAACCATTATGAAAAATGCCGAGTGGCTTATCGTTCAGATGACATATGTTGGGCTCTCCTTATAAATAAATCATCATAAAAGATTAATGCATAATATGCATTCGTATGTGTGTGTCCATTCAATCAATAAATATAATAGGATAAACATTTATAATAAATACTCAAAAAAATATGCGTCGGTGAAAAGCATAAATATATTATTTAAAAATAAATGATTACACGAATAAATGGTAACTCGTACTGTTATCAAGGGGTGCGACTATGCCGGTGTTCAAATGCCACAGATATTTAATTATTGTAATGAAATATCTAGTTATAACATTTTCACAAGGAACTCCCTCGATAAACTAATATCATAGTGGCACAAAATTTGTGTATTCGTTAATTGTAGGATTTATTGTGAGCCGGAACAGGTAAGGTACAACCATATCCCATAGACACAATCCACTGAGTTTCTTGCCGGATCTTCTCAGTAAGTCACGATTTCGATCCGGTGGTAGATTTTTTTTTTATTGCTTAGATGGGTGGACGAGCTCACAGCCCACCTGGTGTTAAGTGGTTACTGGAGCCCATAGACATCTACGACGTAAATGCGCCACATAGACATCTACGACGTAAATGCGCCACCCACCTTGAGATATAAGTTCTAAGGTCTCAAGTATAGTTACAACGGCTGCCCCACCCTTCAAACCGAAACGCATTACTGCTTCACGGCAGAAATAAGCAGGGTGGTGGTACCTACCCGTGCGGACTCACAAGAGGTCTTACCACCAGATCCTGCAAAGCGTTGTTCTTGCTAGAGCCAGTATTAGCTAGCTATTTCAGGTTAATCCCCGTGAGCTCACTCACCAGTCACAGCGTAGCTGGAATAGCCCCTCAGGCTAATAACGAATCGAAGGAAAAGAAAAACTACCATACTAGCTCCAAGCTTAGAAAGCTCACCAGCGTTGGTAAGATCCGTATCTCCCCAGGGCCCTTTCCGACCAAGTATTTCGTACAAGATGATGCCGAAAGAGTAGACGTCTCCTTTCTGCGAGCCTCGCGGTGGTGGTTCTGGGTCCCGGAGAAGTTCTGGAGCTCTCCACAGCATCCGGCGTTCCATGAGCAATGCGTCTTCTTGGTCTATACAACCACCTTTTGGGAATGAATAATTTGAATTAATTTTGTAACCTACTAACATTTAGGCCCGTAATATCGATCGTAGTTTAGACTAAAAGCGAAGTTTAATATCAACTGAAGATCAACTCGTAATTAAAATGTTAAACTGTCCTTCGGGGTTAAAACTATCTCAATGTTTAAGCGGTCACGAGGGAGCGATTAACGAATGAGATAGGATTTAACCTGCTCTTTTCAAAATGGCCGTTCGAAATCAACAGCTGTTGTTTTGTGACAAACTCATTAAATAGAGATTACTGGTGGTTGGACGTCGGGCTTACGTCGTAGATGTCTATAGGCTCCAGCAACCACTTAACACCAGGTGGACTGTGAGCTCGTCTACCAACCAAAACAATAAAAAAAAAAAGAAATTGTCTCACTAAACTTGCTAAGAATTTTTGATTTAGAAAAATTCGGAGTGCCATGTTCCTTCAATCTACGGCTTTTTTTTTTCTCCCAAAAAACAATTCACCTGTCAAGTACAGTAAAATACTTTCAGCTTGAGACTTGATAAAATATTAAAAAGAACGAATGGAACGGTTGATGGAAATGTTGCCACACGTGAAAATATCATCTTTTATTCAGTCTTTCTCATAAGTCTGGCCATAAATACTGTTACAATTAAAAATAAACAAAATTAATAAATATTACATAATAATAAATATTACATTTGAATTTGGAATCTGTCATTTTTATATGATTGCTCATTGAGTTTTCTCATTTTGACGCCAATACATTGTACAATATTTTGCGATATTAAAATGGAGTGGGGTGATAAAGAGAACCGAATCGCTGTGATTACATTACACAAACTAGGTATGGAACCAAATGCAATTTTTAAAACTCTCCATACGCTTAGTATTAGTAAAATGTTTGTGTACCAGGCTATTATTAGGTGCAATGAGACTTCCTCTGTTTGTGACAGAAAAGATCTGGCCGTCCACGTAGTGTTCGTACGTGGTCAAAGCAGCAAGAAAAAGAATTCGAAGAAATCTTGTCCGAAAGCAAAAGATTTTATCTCGGGAGATGAAGATAGCACCTAGAACCATGTCGCGTATTTTAAAAGATGACTTAGGACTTGTAGCCTATAAGAGACCTACTGGTCATTTCTTAACTGATAATTTAAAAGAGAATAGGGTGGTAAAATCGAAACAACTACTGAAGCGGTACGCAAAGGGAGGTCATAGAAAACTTTTGTTTACGGATGAGAATTTTTTTACAACTGAGCAACATTTTAACAAACAAAATGACCGTATTTATGCTCAAAGCTCTAAGGAAGCTTCCCAATTAGTCGACAGAGTGTAAAGTGGGCACTATCCGACTTCAGTGATGGTTTGGTGGGGTATTAGCGATGAAGGAGTGACTGAGCCATACTTTTGTGAAAAAGGTATCAAAACATCGCACAAGTGTATCAAGATACCATTCTTGAGAAGGTAGTGAAGACCCTTAACAACACCACGTTCAATAATCAAGAATGGTCCTTCCAGCAAGACTCGGTTCCAGGTCATAAAGCTCGGTCTACGCAGTCTTGGTTGGAAACGAACGTTTCGGACTTCATCAGAGCTGAAGACTGGCCGTCGTCTAGTCCCGATCTTAATCCGCTGGATTATGATTTATGATCAGTTTTAGAGAGTACGGCTTGCTCTAAACGCCATGATAATTTGGAGTCCCTAAAACAATCCGTACGATTGGCAGTGAATAATTTTCCCATGGAAAGAGTGCGTGCTTCTATTGATAACTGGCCTCAACGTTTAAAGGACTGTATTGCAGCCAATGGAGACCACTTCGTATAAGCTTTTTATACTTTAAATTGTTGTATATTTATGTATTAAACTAACACACTTTAATAGTAATAAATGTTATTTGCAATAGATTTTTTTTTCCTTTTTCTCAGTATTTATGGCAAGACTTTGATATCTGAAAAATAAATGAAAATCCATTCAGCAAGATTGTATATCCGCGAACGAAAAAAAAAAACACGCAATATGCCTGCTAGGTTATGTTGTATGAAATCTTCTATAATGATCTTTCTATTTTTATTACTTTAAAAATTGATTCTACTACTTTATTTAGGTTGTCCCACAAGGGCATATCAATCTTTGTAGAAAACTGTAGATACTATGCTATTGAATAATAGATTCGACGAAAAAAGTTGCTAAGTTTCGGAATCAAGAAATCTTTATTCTTTATTGTACACACAGTTAATATTACAGTAATCGCGATAAGATATAAAAATGGCGAGCTTAACTCAACAATTGAGTTTTCTACCAGCTAACCGTTCTTAACGAAGGAAAGCTTTACATGAGTGGGTAGAAGAATACAATCTAATCAATTTACAATCTAAACATTAACAATAATAAAAATAAAAATAAAACACTAATACACAATATATCAGACTACATATATACATACACAATAAATAAATAACGTAAGCATATATATACACGTACATATATAATGAAATACATAAAATAAATACATATAAGTAATACTAAATTGATAGATAGTGCTCCTTTATTGCCTTCCTGAATACTTCAAGTGAGGGACTTGCACGGATTGAGTGTGGAACTGAGTTCCACAGACGCACAGAGTGCACAGTGAACGAACCGCCGTAGCGGCTGGAGGAGTGAGGGGGAAAATTAAGGAGAAGGGATCTACTTGTACGATTATCTATATTATATATACTGCCAACCCTTGAATTATGTTTCACGTATGATAACGTTATAAAGCTGGCTACACATCAAAAGATGCGATTTTTTTTTTTGCATAGATGTTTAGTCTAGATGGCCCAACATGCGTTAAGTGGTTACCGGAACCCATAGACACTTACAATGTAAATGCCGCCACCCACCTTGAGACGTGAGTTCCAAGTCTCCGTTTTTCAGTACAACGGCTGCCCCGCCCTTCAAAGCGAAACTCATTATTGATCACGGCAGAAATAAGCAGAGTTTGTATGTATGTACAGTCAAACCTGGATAAGCGAGAGTTCAAGGGAGCACAATCTCATTCTCGCTTATAGAGCTTTCTCACTAACCCGAGTTTCTTGCTAATGCTCCCTCTGAATTTCATTTCGCGATTTTCCGGATTCAAATGCATTCACTATTTTAAGTTTATCACTTAATGACAGTACTTTAATTTTCCGTTTTGACATGATGCAGAACAGAACTTTCCTTCGCAATTGATTAACGATAGACTGAGTAAGTCCGACAAACAGGACGGTACACAGGCAGTCCATTCGAAAAGAATGCGTTACAATAACAACGTTATTTAGTTCCACGAAATAGAATAGGTTCAATATTGACGAGAAAACAATACAAAAACAATGGTAGGAAGTTCCACGAAAGTTAAGAATGAGTCATAAAATAGCAGATGTTAAATTTGTAATTTGTTTTGTCATTTGTTCCTCCTAAATAATATAAATAAATAAAGCTCGACTGTCGCTTATAGAGGTATAGATAAGGAGGTCCATGAGAGAAAACGACTCTCTCTTACAAAGATTTCTGTTTCTCGCTAATAGAGGTTTTGGGATCTTAAAATGACAGGTCCTGGCTATTACTCTCACTTATAGAGTTTTCTCACTTATCCAGTTCTCACTTACCCAGGTTTGACTGTATTTGTTTTAGTACTAATTTCCAAACGCACCTCCGCTGTTAGCACTTTATTTCGCGTGGGCCAAAATCCGTACTCACTAGTGTGATTATTTCCCAGGGTACCCAAGTTTCAAATTTACTTTCGGATTAGTAACATCATTTTTTATGCAAAATACCATATTTAACGTACATCTATATCTATACTAATATATAAATCTACAGTGATAATTACGGACGTTCCGTTATAACTACTGAACCATGCATCCGATTGACTTGAAACTTGGTATCCATGTAGAAAATACGTGTACTTAATGGATAGGTAGAATGAATGGTACTTATATTTATATGAGTGTTGGACTCCCTAATAATAATGACAATAAATAATAATGTTAATTTTAAATGCGCAGCGAAGCGGGCGAGTACGGCTAGTATATTTATGTGTACATAAAACCGTAAATTCCAGAAATCTTCAATTTTCAATAACATTTTCGCAAGATCCGTTTTGAAACAAAGCATAATAATATTGCTCTTAATTAATTTATCTCTGATAAATTCGTTAAGCTCCGGAAATGTTTGCAAACGGAAAACAGAGAAATTCTTTTTCAATGGACAGAAAAAATGATATCTCTGCTTTATATACGTTTATTTGTACATCAATAAACATCAAATGTATTTACGAAATCGGGGAAAAAGGCTTTTTGTTTCTTCTGAGAAGAAAGTTACAGTAAAATCTTTTTGGTCGTCCTGTTTGTAACTGGCTGGTCTTAATAATAAATATGTGACGTTTTCATATTATTATTATGAAGCAAAGACGATTTTTTCCACCATTTTTATATCTTCTGCTTACTATAAAGTGGCAAATAACAAAGAAAGTGAATACATTTTCAAGTTTTATTACAAAAAAAGCCAAAGATGCGACACAACTATAGTTGAGACCTTAGATGGGCCCTCTATGGGCTCCAGTAACCACTAAACACCAGGTGGGCTGTTTGCTCGTCCATCCGCCTAAGCATTGAAAAAAAAACAAGATGCGAATATAAAATGTGACGAAAGACTTAAAGTAGCACAAATTTGATTCAAGCGAATTGTGTTGTCAAATATGGAGCTCGCTCTGGTCGACGCGGTACCGAAAAAGCAGATGCCAATTTTGAAAAAGTGCAGTCAGATTGGTATTTTAATACGCTTTTATTAGCTTACGTACCTATGTATATTTGTAACGGTATGTTTGTAATCTTTGAACATGATTTTGAACCCCTTTAGAACGTCGGGTTAACTCGAAATTTGGCATACTTATTATGGACCGATGACAATTCAATATTTAAAAAAATATTGAAAAAAATATATTGAATAGTTGAAAAATAAATAATAGTTTAAAAAAACTAACAAAAAACGCTTTTACAATGATATTTTATATGTAAAAAGAAGCGCTTTTATAAAAAATGCAACTAAAAAATAGAAAATAAATTTTAATAAATTTTAATTAAAAATATTGTTTAAAAATAAAGGATTGTATTGTAAAAAAGCGTGGGGTGTTTTTCAGGATATTATCAAAATAACCCTTCTACTCATATCTGTTCATAAATTAATTAAGTGGTTACTGGAGCCCATAGACATCCACAACGTAAATGCGCCACCCACCTTGTGATAGAAGTTCTAAAGTCTGAAGTATAGTTAAAACGGCTGCCCCACCTTTCAAACCGAAACACATTACTGCTTCACGGCAGAAATAGGCAGGGTGGTGGTACCCGCCCGCGCGGACTCACAAGAGGTCCTACCACCAGTAAATCCACCAGTAAAAAAAAACTTCACAGACTATAGCGCAATCCAAAGGTGATTCGCAATAAGGTGTCGATTTGTTTATGGTGGGACCGCAAGGGCTTCAATCATAATTAGCGCTTCATCATCATCATCATCATCATCATCGTCATCGACATCATCATCATCATCAACGTCATTATCATCATCATCGTCATTATCATCGTCATCATCATCAACATCTCAGCCTTCCATTGTCCACTGCTGAACATAGGCCTCTCTAATTGATCTCCAGTTAATTAATTAGCGTTTACCAGAGGAAGTCCTCGTATCGGATCTAGCTCTACTGCCAACAACTTATGAAACACAAGCATCAAATGAAAAAAAAAAAACAGCCGGAATTTATCAACAAAAAGGGTGTGGTTTTTTTTTATCACGATAACGCCAGACTATAGTCGTACACCTTTAACCACTCAGCAAATATTGAGAGAGAGAGATAATAATATAACCCTGACTCCACCCTGTACGTACCGTGTAGACTTTCACTGTTTCGGTCATTTAAGGATTTTGGGTAGCATTAATTGTTGGCTTAACATCAAGAGGGGACTGTCAAAACTACTTATCACTGTTTTCTTTTCATCGGAAGTCCCAAAACTTCGATAACAATAGAATTATATTATTCTCCATAAAAAAAAAAAACAAGTTATCCAACAAAATGGCACAAAAATTTAAACATATTATTATTTATCATAATCAAATGTACATAGACTATAGTAAAGTACCATCAAATTTGTAACAAATACGAAAAATCCGTTTCCCTCGAAAGATGTTCAATAATTTCTTAATTACAAAATTAAAATAACGAATGAACTATTCTTCGCTGGTAGGTATTTGTGGCAGACATCGCTCCTTTGCCACTTAAGCAGGGCGGCGGGATTCGGAACATATCTAACCACTGAAGATTTTCAATCTCAAAATAAAAGTACTTTGTAATAAACAAAGCCGGTGATAAAAAACATGGAAAGATCGTTTTTAGTAATGACGAATACAATAATATCCACAAACCACAAGTCGTAGCATGTAATTGGCTCTGGAACGTAGCCGGCCACTAAAACGAGATAAAATATCTTCGATAGTGTCCTCAGTAAGGGCAACATTGACTACGTTTACAGCTCTTTTTTTTTTTTATTGCCCATTTAGGCAGACGAGCATACGACCCACCTGGTGGTGAGTGCTTACCGTCGCCCATGGACTTCAGCAATGCCAGGGGCAGAGCCAAGCCGCTGCCTACTAGATCTAGATGAGAAGCATTATCGTTTATATGGGCTAGCTGGGTGGTGCTATAGTTAGCGCCCTTGCCTGTTGCGCCGAGGGTCATGAGTTTGATTCCCACATCGGACAAATATTCGTGTGATAAACAGGTTTGTTTGTTCTTTGACTGGGTGTTTATTTTCTATAGGGTCGCGCGAACTTTGACAGCTCATAGCGACAATCTTGGTAAAGCTAACTGTAAAATTTGGCATATAGTTGTGACATTTCACCATGGAACGCTACACGCGCGTCAGCCTTTATTTCTGCAAAGATACGTAAAAAATCGCGCTCACTCTCAAGGGCAACAGATATCGGACGATGATAACCAACTTTTTGTGGCCCAGGATAGATGGTATGGATCTTACGAACATGTGGTCCAACAGGACGGCGCCACTTGCCATTCAACACGGGAACCATTAAATTTATTGGATGAGAAATTCGAAGGCTTCGTTATCTCGCGTGGTGCCGACATCAACTGGCCACAGAGATCGTGTGGCTTAACGTAACCGGTCAACTACTTTCTGTGGGGCTACGTGAAATCTCTATCTATATAGTCTATGCAGGCAAACCGCTCTCTACCGCAGGGAACTCCGTTCAAACAAGATATGAACATATTCTGTATCCCACTGCTAATGTCTCTAAACGACAGTGACCTTTCACCGCCAGATGGGCTCTTCATTAGCGCTCAAAGTGAGCAAAAAACAAGAGTGATAAACTAATAAAATGAACTTACTTTTTAATACATGGAGTCCATAATCAGCGATTTGCAGCACCCATCGGCTGTCCACCAAGCAATTGCTGGACGTAAGGTTCCCGTGTGATATCAGAGGCGAGTCGTGCAAGTACATGAGGCCTCGGAGTAAGTCCGCTACAAGACTGGCAACGAACATGTCGTCCAAGCGCAGATCTCGGTCGGCCAGGACCCTCGACAAAGACCCCCTTGAACAGTACGCTGAGACGATGCAGGAGGAACCAGCTTCGACGCAGACCCCGACGAAGGTAACCAAGTTTTCGTGACGGAGCTCGCGTATCTGTTAAAAAAAGTTATGTACCGACTATCTGAACCGTGTGCATAGTGCGAGTTTTTTAACGTTCTCGATAGCGTAAAAGTTAACTTAAATTTGTATGAAGTTGGAACGTTTGCCTATGTCATAGAAGGGTAAACATTTAGGATTGTATGTAGTTTTTAATGCTGTATCATAAAAAAACAAAAACAATTTTTCTGCCTGCCTGCCTATTTCTGCCGTGAAGCTCCCCGGAGGGGAGTGTTGTAGGTGTTTCTACTATATTTATGTATATTAGTTCATATTATTTATTAATTTACATTGTACACCTACGCAATATTTAATATTATATCATATTTAATTACGTATTCTATAACACACTCTCATACAGTACATAAATACGCCAAACAATCATACATTCACAACACTACTCAAAATTATATTATTTACACAAGCATAGTCNTCCTTATTTAACTTAAACACTATTTCAAAGGAATCCTCTGTTGCGTTAAAAGGTATGATCGACCAACTTAACAAGAATTTGCGCACTTTAGAATCTTTAGGTGAACCTGTTCAGCATTGGGACACTTTGCTTATATACATAGTTACTCGTAAGTTAAGTCAGCAAACATATCGTGAGTGGGAGGAACACAAAGGTCGCAAAGACAAAGATAGCACAATAACATTTGATGCATTCCTGCAATTTATTCGCACTCGCGCTGATTTAGTAGAAACACTAGAGTTAACACGAAATAGCAATAATCCCACCATTCATTTCCCCTACAGAGATCATGTGACTTAACGTAACTGGTTAACTACTTTCTGTTGGGATACGTGAAATCTCTATCTAGTGTATGCAGACAAACCGCTCTTTACCACAGGGAACTCCAATCAAACGAGATATGAATATATTTTGTATCCCACTGCTAATGTCTCTAAACGACAGTAACCTTTCAATGCCAGATGGGCTCTTCATTAGCGCTCAAAGTGAGCAAAAAACAAGAGTGATAAACTAATAAAATGAACTTACTTTTTAATACATGGAGTCCATAATCAGCGATTTGCAGCACCCATCGGCTGTCCACCAAGCAATTGCTGGACGTCAGGTTCCCGTGTGATATCAGAGGCGAGTCGTGCAAGTACATGAGGCCTCGGAGTAAGTCCGCTACAAGACTGGCAACGAACATGTCGTCCAAGCGCAGATCTCGGTCGGCCAGGACCCTCGACAAAGACCCCCTTGAACAGTACGCTGAGACGATGCAGGAGGAACCAGCTTCGACGCAGACCCCGACGAAGGCAACCAAGTTTTCGTGACGGAGCTCGCGTATCTGTTCAAAAAAGTTATGTACCGACTATCTGAACAGTGTGCTTAGTGCGAGTTTTTTAACGTTCTCGATAGCGTAAAAGTTAACTTAAATTTGTATGAAGTTGGAACGTTTGTATTTTGTTTTTATTTTTTGTATCGTATGTATTTTTTAATGCTGTACAATAATTAATAATTTACTGGTGGTAGGACCTCTTTTGAGTCCGCACGGGTAGGTACCATCACCCTGCCTATTTCTGCCGTGAAGCAGTAATGCGTTTCGGTTTGAAGGGTGGGGCAGCCGTTGTAACTATACTTGAGACCTTCGAACTTATATCTCAAGGTAGATGGCGCATTTACGTTGTAGATGTCTATGGGCTCCAGTAACCACTTAATACCATGTGGGCTGTGAGCTAGTCCAGACATCAAAACAACAAAAAAAAAAAAAAACAATAAAAATTAAATAAGGGCCACCGCCCTTAGTATTTAGGGGTAAGAAAAATAGATGTTGACTGATTCTCTCAGACCTACCCGATATGCACATAAAACTTCATGACAATCGGTTGAGTCATTTCGGAGGAGTTTGAAACTGTCCTCAAATCTCGTTCGAAAAACGGACGTTGATTTCGAAGTCGGCTGATATGTGGTGTAGGGGAATGATACCCCGCCCCGCTTAGCTGCTTACTATGCATTTATAGTAATGAGCAATAGACTTTAGTCAGTCAGTGGTTAACGTGCAGCGATCCACCGCGGTCGCTGACGCGAATAAACATACAATTATACTCAGTGTTTTTCTCCGGTTTTCTTCAGCTAAGCGGGGCGGGGTATCATTCCCCTACAGTGGTAATAAATACCACTGAAAAAGCACTATAACTGAACGCAGTAGTTCAATATAATGTGGACGAACTCTGCTTTTGTGAATCAGCGGTTGTCATGGTACTTACTTCAAGCAAGCACCTTACTCTCGGTATCAGGCTTAGAAACTTCCTCTATCATAACTTGTTTGTGTTACCTGTTGCAACTCCTTCTTGATGGCTCTTGTGACGTCTATACTCTTTTTCTGCAGTCGTTTGACGGCAACGATGTTGGAGCGATACACAGCTATCGTTGTGTGAGAACGTCCTGCTTCCACTCCTTGATGAGACTAGAGGAAACCGGACAATGATAGCTTGCCTAATACTTCCCCATATAACATTATATGATAATAGCATGGCCAGTACATACAAGCTAGCCGACTTACTTTGCTGCGGCATTTGCATGGATTTTGGTTACCACCTAACACCAAATAGGCCGACAGTGAAATTGCCCAATTTTTTTGGGCAGAGGGCCAAACCTTGTACGAGGTGTCCACGCCTAGGGGACACGCGGGGTATGTGGTACTTGACGATCTGCAGTTTTTAAGTCAACTAAGCAATACAAACCTTGGCAATGTGTCCATTCTGTGTTGAAATAAACGTTAAATCTTTGGCCTCAATCCTCCACAGCACCGAAGCCAGTTTCTGCTCGTATCTGTAATGTCGTATTAGCAGAGCCGCTGCGAGGAGTGCTGCACAAGATGCAGCGCTGGCAGCTATGATGAATACGGGGTTGTGGGATAGAGAGCACTTCTTTCCATCGAACCCACAGGGGGGCTCGGCGAGTGGGGGGCTGCCTCCTATCCAGACTATGTTCGATGCTCCAACTAGTTCCTAAAAAATAAAATCACGATGCGAATGCCGCCGTCGTCAGATACGAGATCCATTGAGGTTTCGCAGTAGAAATAGGCAAGACGGCGGTACCGAGCCGTGCGAACCTACAGATTTGCGGGTTTTCGTGAAATTGTGTTAAGTACGTATTTCATATTGGTACCTGTCCGCGGGATTTGAATAGAATCGCATCGCTCTACACGAATACACTAGGTGTCGTTTAGGCCACGACGAAATTGTACTTACGGGTAACACGTCAGTACTGTTCACATATCTGAACGTGGCGACAGGCTGCGCGCTCCACCCCGCGAGAGCAGTGGAATCCTCCACAAGACCGATGACGGTATAATTACCCTCTGCATCGCCGGCGGAGTCCATGTTAACCTTTAAGATAACCAATTTTCTTGCTGTCAATGGGCTAATATTCTCACGGTCCTAAAGCATTGGGTGGCGACAGAAGCTAATTGATGTTCAAGGTCAATATCATCATTTACTGGTCTAAGGGTCTGCCACAATCTCAATTACATCATATAATGGCTGTGCTGTTATCCAGCCTTTTCACATAAAAACTGGCAGAATGTTGGTACTGAGTCATGTGAACTCACAACACTTCCTACCGTAAATAGCAAATGCTATATTGTAAAAGCACTTGGAGAATGTTACTGCCCACTATCCGGTAAATCCTTCAGTTGCCCCGTTCGTCACCCATGGGAAGAGATAGCGATGATATTCTACAAGCTATTACTTTTCCATGTACTCACATCAAACCCCTGCACTGAACGATAAGTGGTGGGTCGCAGTAACTTCATGATGGTAGCTCCGTCAGTGTGGGATAGGCCTGCCCTCATAGCGGCTGTGATGGCGCGTGCCCATAGCGTGACCGCATCGTATAGATGGGCCGCCTCTATAGGAACCTGTTGAAATAAATAATTTAAGTTACGAGACGAGAGTTTTTTTTTCTTATTGCTTAGATGGGTGGACGAGCTCACAGCCCACCTGGTGTTAAGTGGTCACTGGAGCCCATCCATAACGTAAATGCGCCACCCATCTTGAGATATAAGTTCTAAGGTCTCAAGTATAGTTACAGCGGCTGCCCCACCCTTCAAACCGAAACGCATTATTGCTTCACGGCAGAAATAGGTAGGGTGGTGGTGCCTACCCGTGCGGACTCACAAGAGGTCCTACCACCAGTAATCAGATCTCCACTTTTCCCTACTTTCTGACAATGTACAAGTACTCTTGAGCTCCGAGATCTGCAAATCTTTGTCCTCTTAAAGGATGGATAAGCTGGTAAAGAATCGAATTGCGATTCAGCCTTGGCATCAAGTGTATATAATTCACGCTGTGAAGAAAATCTTCTCCGATGTAAGCTGTGTAAGCTGTGTAATTATAGCCCACTCGTGAGTTAGCTAATAAAAATAGCATGACTGAGTTTACGTGGTTGTTTAACGTCAAAACGTTTATGTTTCACCTCCAACGATACATTATTTAAACACACTACGAGGGCGGCACTGAAAATTTCGGGAATTAACGAAGTGACACAACATTACTATTTAAAAATGTATTTATTGCTTTTCGAAGTATTCTCCGCGAAATTTGACACATTTTTCCATACGATGGAACCAATCATTGAAGCAACCATTCCATTCGGAAGTTGGGGTCTCCAAAATGGCCGTTTTTTAGGCGTCCACAGCTTCTTCAGGTGATGAAAATCTCTGTCCACGCAATTTATTCTTTATTTTAGGGAAAGTATAGAAATCATTAGGGCTTAGGTCGGGGCTGTACGGCGGATGGTCTAATAATTCTATGTTTTCTTGCTCTAAAAACTCTTTTGTTCTGTGCGCGGTGTGAGAACTCGCATTGTCGTGATGGAGGATGATGCGGCGGTTGCAGTTCTCTTTACGGAGTTCAGAAACGACCTGTGGCAAACAAATGCTAGCATACCATTCTGCATTAACCGTTCTTTGTCCCTCAAGAGGAATAGTCGTAACATGGCCGGTTTTGGAGACAAACGTGGCCACCATTTTTTTTGCAACACTCCGTGAACGAACAATTTTTGTTGGCTTTAACTCATTTTCGAACACCCAAACTCGTGACTGGTTTTTTGTTTCGGGTTCGTACGCGTATATCCAGGATTCGTCACCTGATACAATGTTGTATACAGCATTTGAGGATCCTGCGTGGAATCTTTCGAGAGTTCTGACGCACCAAGTAACGCGAGCCGCTTTTTGCTCTTCACAGAGCGAATGCGGTATCCATCGGGAAAACAACTTTTTTACACCTAATTGTTCATGCAAGATTATTTGTATTTGACTCATGCCAATGTCTAAAGTTGCCTGAATTTCGCGGTATGTCACATGTCGATCTTCCTCAATCAGCTTACGCACAGCATCAACGTTTTCTTGGGTGACTGCAGTTTTTGGACGACCTTGACGGGGATCATCACTGAGCTTGACACGTCCACGTTGAAACTCAGCAAACCAGCGATAAATTGTGGTTTTGGATGGGGCTTCATCACCAAATGCAGAAATCATCCGGTCAACACACTGTTTTTGTGTTAAACCACTTCGAAAGTCATAATAAATCATCGCTCTTGAATTTTCTCGAGTCAATTCCATTTTCTCAACGACTAAACAAGTTTGACAAAACCTCGTGACAAGACCGAGAATCTTTTTTAAAATAAATAAATGGTATTCGATTTTTAAAACCAAGGAGTCTTCAATTAAAAAGATTTTAATATGACAGGAACAGTGGAAATGTTCCATTCCCGATACTTTTAGTGCAGCCTATGTAGTATTATTATTATTATTTTTATTGCTTAGATGGGTGGACGAGTTCACAGCCCACCTGGTGTTAAGTGGTTACTGGAGCCCATAGACATCCATAACGTAAATGCACCACCCACCTCGAGATATAAGTTCTAAGATCTCAGTCTCAACGGCTGCCCTACCCTTCAGACCGAAACGCATTACTGTTTCACGGCAGAAATAGGCAGGGCGGTGGTACCTACCCGCGCGGACTCACAAGAGGTCCTACCACCACCATTACCACGATTTCCAGTTGAAATGAGTTCGGAAATATTTTCTCAGTTGATAACCTGCAGCCGTCCGTCGCCCCATTATCAAGCGAATAGAATACTGCTTTTAGTTTAGTAAAAAACAATACGTTCTCAAAGTGTCCGGAAAAAACTGTTGGTACGTAAGGGTCCGTTCACACAGACCGCTCGGAGAGCGTGGGCCCTCTCTTTAATACGCTTTTATTGGCTTCAGACGTATGTATGTTAGTATGTAACGGAAACTTTGAACATGATTTTGACCCCCTACAAAACGTCGGATTAACTAGAAATTTTGTATACTTATTAAGGACCGATGACAATTAAATATTAAAAAAATACATTGAAAAAATTAAAATTCAACTAAAAAATGAAAAATAAATAATACTTAAAAAAAATTAACAAATTAATAAAATTTATTTTCTATTTTTTAGTTGGATTTTGTATAAAAGCGTATTCTTTTTTTTTTTTTTTTTATTGCTTAGATTGTTGGACGAGCTCACAGCCCACCTGGAGTAAAGTGGTTACTGGAGCCCATAGACATCTACAACGTAAATGCGCCACCCATCTTGAGATATAAGTTCTAAGGTCTCAGTATAGTTACAACGGCTGCCCCACCCTTCAAACCGAAACGCATTACTGCTTCACGGCGGAAATAGGCAGGGTGGTGGCACCTACCCGCACGGACACACAAGAGGTCCTACCACCAGTTGATTCTGTTAGTTTTTTTAAACTATTATTTTATTACTTCTCGCATAGGCCGGCCGGAAGAGATCTGAAAGTCGATCAGCTACGCGAGCGAGAAAGAAGAGCGCGCAATCGGTGCCGCTTGGCTCCTCATAATATTTCACACGCAGCGCGTTCAAACATTATTAATGACAAAAAAAGTGCACATGCAAAAACAAACTTAACTTTTTTTTTATTTATTGCTTAGATGGATGGACGAGCTCACAGCCCACCTGGTGTTAAGTGGTTACTGGAGCCCATAGACATCTACAACGTAGATGCGCCACCCACCTTGAGATATATAAGATCTCAGTATAGTTACAACGGCTGCCCCACCCTTCACACCGAAACGCATTACTGCTTCACGGCAGAAACAGGCAGGGCGGTGGTACCCACCCGCGCGGACTCACAAGAGGTCCTACCACCAGTAATGACATTACTACACTTACTCAAAACTCTGTTTCCAACGTGATAAAAATCTGTTCTCCTCTCCGAGCCGGTCTGTGTGAACGGACCCTAAGTGTATACTGTCGGGGTGGGTCATCAATTTCTAGTGGTAGTACCCATAAAACCCATTAGACAGAGGGTAGATAGATTTATCTGCTACAGGTATCCTGCCTACAGTTTTCAGTCGACCTGTTCACGACGCTTGCAACAGCGAGACCTTTTTTAAATTTGAAAATCGAAATGAGATCCATTTAAATATCAGCCGCGGAGTTTAAAAAAAATTTAATACACAATTAAATCTAATTTTACAGTTAAATCTCGCCTATTTCATTGTATGTTTTTTTATTTCTAGCGTTTCGAATACTTATCAGTATTTGGGTTTGTGGGAAGTCGCCCGTAAATTTTTTTTAACGAATTTATTATATGAAACCCGAAAGATCGACTGAAATACTAATTGCATACATTATTTTCCATTAGTAATACTTCACAAGAAAGTCGCATCCAAATAAAAAGTTAGATTGAAACCTAGAACCTTTTTTCTTTTCTTTTAAATAAATAAACATAAAACAAGGTGGGAAATGGATTGAAGAGCCACAAAGTTTACCCCGGTGTTTACGCAATGTTTTCTTTTTGATAAGTTTGGTTGGAAGCTAAGGAATGCGACGAAGAAAATTAATTTTGAATGTATTCGCTGATAAAATTCTTCAAATTTATTTAGATATTAGTGAAACCCGGTCACCTTCTACTCACAATAGACATTGTTAAATACACATAGCACCAGTCGTTAATTGTATGAAAACATCGTATTTTTTGTATTTATTTATTAAACGCACCACCACTGCCTTTGAAGTTACTATGACAAAGCCCGCCTTATAGTGTAAATTGGTTCTCGGAGGCCATACAAAACACGTCATTGTCGCCACCTTGAGAACCAAGGCTTTGAAAAACATGTAATAAAACACGATGATTGAACATATTATTTTTAATGCGATAGTTTGATTAAATTTTAACTTTACTAATTGTGTTAATTGCTTGCGTACCAAACTAAAGTTAGTTGTTGTTCCATCGAAATATAATTTCGCCAATCTATTTACAAATTCAATAGATGTATATATCGCACCGTTTGTGGAAGAAAGACGCAAGTGCAATTATTTACTTCAAAAAATCTTTTATTTCACTATTCGTTAAAGGAGATTATGAGACATGCTCAACAAAATTGAAAAAAATATTCCAAAAAATGATGGGAGTCATCGCAAATTTAGCGAAATTCTATGTTTTTATTTATTGATTCGCGCTTATTAATTTACGTGGTTTTTGTTGTGGCGGTTGCCATCATACAATACAAGATACTTGACAAATGACTGAATCTCGCTCATGACATTTTCAAGATAAACTTGCATATATACAAGTCCCGAACAACAACAAAGGGACCGTCGGTCCACCGAGCAATATCACCCGCTCGGTGGAAGATCTTCCCTTTGTCGTATATCTACATTTGTTATATTTGATCATTTCTGAAATATTCCCTATCAATAAAAGCTTATTATTATAGATATTAATTATACGCCATTTAACTAAAATATACGTGCATAAATGAACTTTCACACTTTTGTCACGATATTTGATGAAGATGTAAGTGCGCAAGTTCAGTTACGCGTCTGTTGTATGTACGCGATGCTTTGCGAATCA